GTGTGTGTGTGTGTGTGTGTGTGTGTGTATCTTGAGCTTTAGTAGATAGGCCAAAGAGTTTTCTAAAGTAGTTACATTAATATACACTCCCACCAGTAATTACAGGAGTTTCAACTGTACCACATTCTCATTAGTTATTAATATCTTCTGTCTTTTCAATATAGCCATTCTGGTGAGAGAGTAATGGTATTATCCCAATTTTTTAAAATTGAGATAAAATTCACATACCATAAAATTCATTCATTTTAACTATGAAGTGTACAATTCAGTGGTTTTTCATATGTTCACAATGTTGTACAACCATCATAACTATTTAATCCCAGAACATTTTCATCACACAGTACCCATTAAGCCATCACTCCACATTCCCTATCCTAATGTCTATTTTTTAAAAGCTTAAAACATCTCATCCAACATTATATCACAGGAATTGAGACAGTAAAGGTATTTGCACTGATATCAGGAGCAAACAGAAGGATAACCTCTACATTACTAAGATCTAGCATGGCTCTGAAGGTTCTAGTCAATGACTCCAGAAGAGAGAAAAATATAAATAGCAAAAACTTCCTGTTGAATGAAGATGATATACCTACTCCCCATAGAAAAACCAGAGGTATTGACAAAACACACACACACACACACACACACACAAAAAAAAAAACAAAAACAAAAACCAGAGTTCAGAAGGGCAATGGTTACATTCAAAATATAAAATATGTGAACATTAGCTAATTATATAATTAAACATTTTTTAAAACTTACTATAACTAAACCAATATCTCATTTCTTGATCACACTACTGGTTACACAGGTATGTCCAGCTTCTCAAAATTCATTAAAATACACCAGTACTATGAGTATACTTTTCTGTGTATATGTAACATTTCAATAAAAAGTTTTTAAAAACAAATCTGAAATAGTGGCCAAACTTTTTTTTTTTTTGGTGGGGGACAATAGTATAAAAATATTTTAAATAATAAATTACAATAATAATTTTTAACATGTGTAGATAAACAAAGCAATAGACTAAACCTAATAATAATTTACTATTTAAGAAGCTGGCATTTCTAAGTACTGGAGAAAGTATCAATTTTTTAATAATGACACAAAGGGAAAGCCTGGTCCCTACCTCATAACATGCAACTAAAATTCTAGATAGATTAATAATTTAAATATAAAGAAGACAGTAACAATAAGAAAAGTTAGGAGATGGGGAAAATCTTCCTAAACAAGAGGAAAAAGTGAGAAGCCATAAAGAAAAGATTTCTTTGACTACAATTTTAATAGCAAAAGATACCGTAACATAGTGTTTTTCAAATTACTGATCACAATCCATGAGTCCCAATATCAATTTAGTGTTTTGTGATGGGCTTTTCTTTTTTTAAGGAATAGTGTACAAAAAAATATGAATACAGTACATTTAGTAAAGTATTTCTATGTAAATCTTTTCATTCAGGTTTGTTTGTGTGAGTCTGTGTACAGAACATGATGTAAAATATATTTATTTCTTGACGTGTTTAGCAGTCAAAAAAGGTAAGAGAAATATTGACATAAATGAAGTCAAAAGTCAAATGATAAACTGGGAAAATATTCATTAACACATTTAAAGGGTTACTCATCCTAATGTAAAAGATATATCAAGTCAAAATGACTTTATACTGAGTTTAAAATGACTCAATAGAATAGTAAGCAAAAAATAGAAAAGTGAGCAAAAGACAGGAATAAACAATTCACCTAAGTGGAAATCCAAAGGGTCAAAAGCCGCTTAACTTTACTAGAAAATAAGAAACGAACCAAATGCAGTTTTTCCACCCATCCAATTGGTAAAAACAAGAAAGCAGAGATTTATGTAAATGATTTATAATGCAACATAACATTTTTAATAGGGAAAGTATGAAATAAACTACAGTATATTCATATTGTAAAATACTGTGCAACCATTACTCTATATATGATCTATTCACTGCATGGAAAGATATCCATAATATATCATTAACCCAAATGACATGCTGCTGAACCCTGTGTGATATATCATCCCCATTTCATTTAAAATACAGACATTTATCTTATGGAAAAAAAAAAATCTGGAAGGGTAAACCTAAAATGTTAATAGTAATTATCTCTGAAAATAGAATTGAGGAAAGGGTGAGTTTTGGTTTTTAACTTGATGCTTTTATTTTTACGGATATGCATATGCAAGTAAACTGGGACTTCGAAGTATACATTCCTCCCAGAGAAGATCTTGAGGTCTTTTAAGATTTATGTACCAAAAAGAATATCATCATATGACATTCTCTTTAATTAATGAACTAAATTAAGAGCACTAGACCTTTATTATTCTGATATAGCCCATGAGGTCTTTTTAAAACTCTGGGTACAATATGTCTATTAAGTACATGAAAACATGTCCTTAACATACTATCAACTACTAAAATCAGACTTTAAAGAGAAGAACAACTTCACAGATTAGATTTCAGTAGGGCTAGTTAGCTTTTCTGTTCTGTACCCTCAGAAATCACCACTGAACTCTTACAAACACATTTTACTAATAGTGAGTCTGTGTGTGTATATGCATGCATGTGTGTTAAGAAAATATTCTTGTTCAACAGCTTATGTTAACGTGCATTAAGAAAATATTTACTCTTGTTCAATTTACTCTAGTTTCGTAGTGAAACTGAGTGACCAGGGCAATTAGATTTAGTGGTGCTGGGGGTAAAAAGATCCAAGTTCAGGATATAACAAAAGCGAATCAACTGATAGGAAATTTAGAGGGCAGTGCATTTATGTTAATGGAGGAGGAACAACTCTGAAAATGAGGGTGAGAAGGTTGCACAACTTGAAGAATGTAATCAATGTCACTGAATTATACATGCAGAAACTGTTGAACTGGTGTGTGTTCTGCTGTGTATATTCTCAACAACAACAAAAATTAAATAAATTATTTTTTTAAAAAGTGAATCAGTAGATTGGGTGGATTGTACGGTATATAAATTATATCTCAATAAAGCTGTGACCCCACCCCCCAAAAGTGAATGAGCATGGACAAGTGAAGTGTTTGCCATTTACAAAATATATACCTCATCTCATTAAAAAAAGCATGATACATCTAAATAATGTACATACACATTTGTTTTTAAATAGAAATTTTGAAAAGAAACAAACCTAATTGCTATTAGTGGTTAATCCTGGAGAATAAGGACAGGGAAAGGAAAAGGGTAATAATCCTCAGGAATTTTATGACCCAGGACATGCTACTGGAAACCCTGGTGGTGTAGTGGTTAAGAGCTATCTATGGATGCTAACCAAAAGGTCGGCAGTTCAAATCCACCAGGCACACCTTGGAAATTCTATGGGGCAGTTCTACTCTGTCCTATAGGGTCACTATGAGTTGGAATCAACTCGATGGCAACAAGTCTGGTTTTTTTGGTTTTGGACATGCTACCGAGCCTGAACTTCAGGGTCCCTCCTTATAAAAGAGATGACATCACTGACTGTGATGGGCATTAGATATTATGGCTAAAGTCGTCAGCACAGCGAGGACTAACTATCAAGGAAAGAGAGCAGTATTATAATAATCCGTAAGGGCTATAATGCAAAGAATGTTAGCTGTATTATAAATACTTCTCACCTGCAAAAACTCATTTAATCCTCACATGTTGAGGTAGACACTGTTAAAGATAAGGTAAGTAGTTAAGCTGGAATTTAAATCCAAACTAGTCAACTCTACTGCCTTTCAATATAGCTCAGTACTTTGAAAAGGTGAGCTTATCGTATATGTAAGTGGGGAGAGGGGAGACCAGGCAAACAGAAATTAAGAGAAAAAAAAAGTGGAGGAGCCAGAACATAAAATTCAAATAAAAAGACATCTACCTAAATGGCCCTTGAATGTCCAAAAAGGTGCTCAAATGTAAGATAAATGCGAATTAAAATGACACTAAGATAACATTTTATACCTAATAAAATGGTAAGCATTAAAAAGTCTGTGTACACAGGCTCTTGGTTAGGCTGAGGGGATACGGACAGTTTAATACAATGCTGGCGAGAAGGAAACTGCTGCCATCACTGTTGAGGGCAATTGGGCAGCATGTCTAAAAATTACAAACGCAATCTACCCTTTGATATAGCAATCCTGCTTTCGGG